GAGGGAGGCCTTGTAAGATTTTTTAGCTGCATCAAGTGGAGACGAATATCCCTGAACAGCAGCAACTCTGCCTTCTCACACCCAGGAAGACAACAAGTCCACCCAGGGAGACAGGCCCCAGGAGCCTCACCGGTCACAGAAGTGTTAATCGTGACGTGATAAAAACAGGACTTATGATGATTACCTCTCTCAAAGACAAAAAACGGAGGCACAGGAGAAGCAATGTGTGATTCATAACTGCACAACTCACTTTTCTAACTGGAGACTGTCTTGCCCTTTTCTATAATAAAAACAATTTGTGAGCAGATCACTGAGGACGTCATTCCTTTTCACAAAATTGAAAATATTTTATTTAGTTATTTTTAGAGAGAGGAGAAGGGAGGGAGAAAGAGAAGGAGAGAAATATCAGTGTGTGGTTGCCTCTACACGCTCCCTCCCAGGGACCTGGACCACTACCCAGGCATGTGCCCTAACTGGGAATTGAACTAGCGACCCTTTGGTTCCCAGGCTGGTGCTCAATCCAGTGAGCTGCAGCCAGCCAGGGCCAAAACTGAAAATATTTTAACAGTAAGTGTCAGAAGCAGAGCTGAAGAGAAAGTAGGAAATCTGCATTCTCAATGAAGTATCTCCATCAAAAAACCAATCCCAGGATAACTATATCACTTAACTGCTGCTTGTAATTATCTGGCTATCTCCAGAAACCACAATAAAAGTCAGGGATTATTACAACAGATTCTGGTGCACTTATCATGATAATGACCTTTTAATTGCTTTCATTTTTTTTCAAGAAAGTAATAAGAAGTTAATAAGAACAAATGAAAAATTCCAAAAAATAAAATCATCCAAAAATAGTACATCATCTCTCATCAGACATTGAAGAAGAGTTTTGAGACTTTAAAGAGGATCCAATAAGCTGCCCTTTCCTTCATTCCAGATAAAAGATTTTGTATGGAGTAATTTATATATTTTAAAAAGAATCCCCCCAAAAGGTCTAAATCATTAAATGCATTTGCCTCTCTTTCATATGTCCACTGCATACAAATGGGCAATAGACAGATAAGCCAGAAAAATCAATAACCAGTTTCAATAACCAGTCATTTTCCTTTGGCTTAAACATTCACATTTATCGGAATCAAGTAAGTAAAAGACAAAACTTTAAATCAAGGCCATAAAGAAGTAAAATCTCAAATTACTCTTTTTCTAAAATCATTTTTTAAAAAATTTTATTTAATTTTTGAGAGAGGAGGTGGGAGGGAGAAAGAGAGGAAGGGAAAAATCAGTGTGTTAGAGATACATCAATCAGTTGCTTCTTGCATGCCTCCAACTGGGGATCCGGCCTGCAACTCGGGCATGCAACCCATGCACTGACTAGGAATCGATCCAGTGACCCTTTGGTTCACTGGTTGGGACTCAGTCTACTGAGCCACACTAGCCAGGACTCAAATTACCCTTCAAATTAAATAACACTTTTCCCCTTTGTTCTAATCCACACACCCATTCTAGGACTTTGCTTCATCAGCTGCCACCTCTCCACTGGCTCCATTACCTAGGCACGTAAACCTGCTAGGGGTGAGTCTATCTTTAAAAAACCAAAAAAATTCCCGAATTAGTGCTTCTTCTTTAAGCTACCACCAAGTGCATTCTTCACTTCTGCAAAACGTGCTCCCCATTCCTTGTCTGAATCTTCTGCAGCCACAAGCCTCTTTGACCACAACCCCAGTGGAGCCTTTATCTCTGAAAATTACCACTGTGTCCAGTCACTTCAACAATAATGGACTTGACCTCTCCATTATTCCCCATACCCCTGACAATCCAATGAGCTACACCAGCCAGGGCCTTTTTAAAAATCTTTTTAAAAAATATTTTATTTATTTTCAGAGAGAGGGGAAGGGAAGGAGAAAGAGTGGGAGAGAAACATCAATGTGTGGTTGGCTCTCATGTGTCCCCTACTGGGGCCCTGGCCTGCAACCCAGGCATGTGCCTTGACTGGGAATCAAACTGGCGACCCTTTGCTTCACAGGCCCATGCTCAATCCACTGAGCTACACTAGCCAGGGCCCTTTTCTTAAATTTTTAAAAAAATGTACTGACTTTAGAAAGAAAAGGGGGGGGTGCAAGAGAGAGAGAGAGATAAATGGAAACATCGATTTGTTGTTCCAATTATTTGTGCATCATTAGTTGATTCTTGTATGTGCCCTGACTAGGCATTAAACCCACAACCTTCGCATATTGGAGATAACTCTCTAAACAACAAGAGATTTTTAAGTACCTACTAAGGGTCAGGCTAAATGCTAAGCACTGGAGACAAAACAAAGAACAAAATAGGGGTCAACTCAATTCTGCAAAAGATATAAAAATAACAAAGAATGAAAACATAACACAAAACTTATAAACTCCATTTTACTCATCTGGGACTGGTTCCTAAAATACTGTCTCATGTAAATAAAAACTGTCATAATTGGTGGTCATCAGACAGGAGAAAAAATGCGAAAGGGATTAAGTATAGATTGCCCATTACAAAATTACTTACAGAAGACAAAGTAGTCCCGAGGATATAAAGTGCAGCTCAGGAATATAGTCAATACTGCAATAACTATGGGTGGTGTCACATCGGTACTAGACTTAGCAGGGCGATCACTTTGTAAAGTATATAAATGTCTAATCGCTATGCTGTAGCCCTAAAACTAACGTATGATTGCACATCAACTCTAACCGAAAAATAAATTTAGCCCTGGCAGGTGTGGCTCAGTGGACTGAATACAGGCCTGCGAACCAAAGGGTCCCTAGTTCAATTCCCAGTCAGGGCACATGCCTGGGTTGCAGGCCAGGTCCCTAGTCGAGGGCACGTAAGAGGCAAGGGGCACACTGATGTTTCTCTCCCTCTCTAACAAATAAATAATTTTTTAAAAAGAAAAAAATAAAAAGAGACCAGAAAAAAATTGGTTGCAAAGCAGATTACAGCTTTGTGATTTATAGATATGACAGTGACACAAACGTAGGAGTCTATCCTGAAATAAAGCTTTTAAAAACACGTTCCTGGGAGACTGTTGCCACTCTCACCATTTTAAAGAGAAGAAAATCTGAAATCAAATGGGTTTAACAACTTGTCTTACACCACAAAGTAAATCTGTGGCAGCGATTTTGGGAAATGACAATTCTGATTTCCAGGGTTAAGGCAAAAACTCATAATTTAATGTGCAATAAGTTAAAAGAAACAAGAAATAGCAATTTCACTCTTAGCATGAATAAGTTTAGGGAAGCTGTCCAGAACACTGAACACTGAAATTTACAACAGCAATGACCAACTAAACTCCTTGCCAGAAGGACTTACTGTGACTTCGACTCGGAAATAGTTTTCTTCCCCACTCCCACCCCCGGCATGATCTAACAACACTAGGTCTCTAACTTTGCCTCTCAAATGTTTTCATTGTTGTGTTAAACTATGGCTGCTTAAAGTAGGATAATGCCATTGTTAAATTGACAAAGCCTATGTTCGAATTGGTTTTTGACAACCTTACTTTAAATCTGATGTAGAAAGTGTTATTTACCTTCTCACTTGCACTCAATGTGCTAAACAAGGCAGTGTTTACCCTCACCAAGTTCGATCCTATCATTTTAGCCACATTAAAAACTGTATATGGCCCTGGCTGGTGTAGCTCAGTGGATTGAGAACGGGCCTGCCAACTAAAGGATCACGGTTCCATTCCCAGTCAGGGCACATGCCTGGGTTGCAGGCTAGTTCCCAGCAGGGGATGCATGAGAGGCAACCACACACCGATGTTTCTCTCCCTCTCTCCTTCCCTTCCCCTCTAATGATAGATAAATAAAAATCTTTTTTAAAAAAACAAACTATATATGGCCCTGGCCAGTATGGCTCAGTGGATTGAATGCCTGCCTATAAATCTAAAGGTTTTGGGGTCAATTCCAAATCAGGGCACAGGTCTGGGTTGCAGGCCAATGTTTCTCTTACTCTCCAAAAATAAACAAATTAAGCATGGGCTGGTGTGGCTCAGTGGATTGAACAGTGGCCTGTGAACCAAAGGGTCTCCAGTTCAATTCCCAGTCAGGGCACATGCCTGGGTTGCAGGCCAGGTCTCCAGTGGGGGAGTAGGGGTGTGGGGATGTGGGGGGTGTGGGGGGGCATGCCAGAGGCAACCACACATTGAGGTTTCTCTCCCTCTCTTTCTTCCTTCCCCTGTCTAAAAATAAATGAGTTTTAAAAAGATTATACCAAAAATAAATAAATAAGATCTTTTAAAAATCTTTATCTGTATTCCCAGGCTCCATATTTTAAGAAATGCATTCTTAAGTATGCAGCTGTGAAATGACCTGACTGGGATTTCCTTTAAAAATGCTTCAGCAAAGGTAAAAGAGTAAAAGAGAAAGAGAGGAAGGGAGGAAGGAAGGAAGGAAGGAAGGAAGGAAGGAAGGAAGGAAGGAAGGAAGGAAGGAAGGAAAGAGGGAAGGGAATTTTTTTTTGCAAATATCTAAACTGTTTAAAGTGAGTGATGGCATCTGGAGGTTTCGCTTTTCTCTCTACTTTGTCTATACTTAAAGTTTTTCCCTGTAACTTTTCACAAAATGATTTCCAAGCTCAGTTACCCTGCTGGTTATTAAACAGGCGTCAATGGAGGTCTGTATTCTTGTCCTGGGAGCGAAACCGGGCGAAGGGTCTCCTCCAGCAGAGGCGAGGGCTCCACCCGCCAGGCGGATGCGGGTTCCGCCCCACGATGCGGGCCGAAAGCGCGCACGTTTCCTTGGAGGCTGAATCTGACAACTCACTCCCTGCGCGCCAAGACTCGAGGCACTGTGGAACTCAATTGGGAAAAGGCGCACACTGGGCTCCCGCTGGCGGCTCGGGGGGCCCCGACAGACTGCGCTCCAGAGCTCAGAGGTCCTGAGCCAGGGTGGTCGGCATGGCCCCCCGCAGTCCCTTCCAGCCCTCTAGAGCTCGCCTGCCCGGCCCCCCACCGCGAACCTCCCCTCAGCCCCGCCGCCTACCGTCCAAGTCCTCGTCCTCGTCCTCATCGGTCTCACTCTCCAGTTTCGCGTCCTCAAGGCCAGGGCCGAGCTCTGGATCCTGGGAGAAGGAAGGAGGGGTGGCGGGCGGGCTGGAGGCTAGGGCACGGGCCTCGCGCAGGCGGGTGAAGTAGTCTACCGCGAAGTCGATGAGGTCCGGTGGCCGCTGCCGTAGCACCTGCACCGTGTAGCCCTGCAGCAGCTCTGTGAGCCCCGGCGGGATCCGGATGTGGCTCATGCCGGCGGCGGCCGCGAGGGCAGGCGGGTCCTGGCCGCCAGCGGCCACTGCCTCCGCGCTCCCTCACGCGCGACCACGGTCTGGCCTTCCTCGCGGCCTGGTACCACCCTTTGGCCGGCTATGCGTTTCTGGGCCACACGACCCTACGCTGCTTGTACTGCCGGCCTGGTGCCGCAGCTGCTGTCACTGGGCAGCCGCCGCCGCCAGGACCGACCAGCGGGCAGGCGAGACGGGCGGGGCAGGAGTCCGGGTTGTGACGCACGCGACTACTGACGTGCGCGCCCCCGCCAAAGTGCTGGCCTTCAGTGCGCGTGCGCCGCAGGGCAGCGCGCCCTGGCCAGTACTGGCTTGAGGCACTAAACAGTTTTTAGCGCCTTTGACCTAGTCTCAAGACCTCTTTTTTTTTTTCAACATGCGCCCAGAGCCTTCTGTTTGCCAGTCAACTAGACACCAGGGATACAGCCTAGGGGACACGTTACCACGTCAATGTGGTTCTGGGTGTGGTGGAGAGCTAGTGGACCCTTTAGGGGGTGACATTCAAGTTGACCTCCAAGCCTGGACAGGATCCAAGTAAGGATATGTAGGAAGGCCATCTGAGCATAGTGCACAGTGAGAACAAAGGCCTGGTGGAGTCAGGACCACCCTGGCCAGCAGGTGGAATGGCGGAATGACCACAGGACACTCAGGCAGGTCCATGAGATGTCAAACAGGGAAGGCTTTGCATATAGTAGGAATTACTAATGACATAGTAATTTGGGAGCCTCGGGCACACAGCCTGAAAGGCCAAATGTGTACCTTGAGAAACGGGAACAAAGCCATTGCAGGAATGACTTCTGTGCCTGTTCTTTTCCTTGAGTACTCCCACCAAGGTTCCCAGGACTAAGTTTGCATGTGCCTTTCTCCCCACATTCCACCCTGGGTCCTGTGCTTGATGACGTTGAGCAGACCACAAGGCAGTGTTATCCTTTGCCCCTGGGGAAGGGACACAGGCAAACTGGAAGGGCCAGTCTATTTCCCAACATGTCCACTTTTACTCATACCAGATTGGAATCGAACAGGAAAAGGTAAAGACCTTCCCGGGATGTCCATGCCACAGCCCAGGCACCGACCAAAGGCCCAGTGGACACAGGACAGAGTCATCCCTCTCTTTGCTAGGTCCACCAGAAAGAGACTAGCTGTGTGTAGTCTAGGGAACCTGAAAGGAATTTGATTTGGGTTGGTTAAGATCTACCTGGTAATTACCCAGTATCAATTAAAATCCTCACTAGGACCTCTCATGGTCACTTGGCACACAGCCAGAAGCTCAGTGCTGTGGGTGCAGAAGCCACCCAAGCTCTAGGCCAGGCAGGCCTGTGATTATAAAGAGTGGTGTCTTCCTAGCCAAGTTCCTTGGCCCCTGGAAAGAGTCTCGGACCACCAACTCTGTGAGGGGAGGGGTAGTGTCCAACTTGTTGCTTGCTCGATCCTTACTGCGCACCCTCAGAGAAGATATACTGGATGAATAAATGAATAATTTCCACACAGCACACAGGGCCAATTAAACTGCTCTTCTGACCTCACAGTCTCAGAATTAGGATTCTTTGCTTCAAAGCCGTGCTTCTGATCTTAGAATATAAAGACTTCACTAAGGACAGGCAGTGAGGGCTGGAGGGGCATGGTTTCTCAACTCTCCTCTGCTGTTGGGTAGACCCACCTTTCCAAGTTTTCCAGGAGTTGGCCCACACCCAGGAAACCTGGGTGTGACTCCCATTGCACTGCCACGCCTAAGGATCTGCCCCCACTTCAAACAGTCCCACAACCAACCCTTTGGAAGGGCAAAATCACAACTCCACTCCCTGGTTTGCCTGTTTGTCAGGCTTTATATATTTGAAAGGGGACAGGCACCTGTACAGTTAGGACTCTGGCCTCAACTACAAGATAGAGTCGAGGGAGGCTAGCTACTACTCCAAGGCTGATGAGATGGGTGTGGTGGGTTCTGCCAGTTGCTCTGAGCAACACCCAACAGACTCCGCTAGAAGCAGGCTGGTTTGCCTGGCTTGTTCTCATATGCCCTGCAGCTTAGTCAGCCAGCCAGTCAGCAAATGTGGCATTCAAAGGTATCCTTGGACCCAGAGGGAATAAGGCTCCTTACCTGTGTCCACAGACTACCATCAGAGTAAGAAAAGACAGCCAGCTCTCAGGCCTGACTGGAGAGCCATAGGTCTGCATGCTGCCCAGAGCAGAGAGAAAGCAGAAAAGGGAGCCCCATGGGAGCACCTGGTCCTGGGGCCTTGCCAGTGGCTATTGGGACTCTGTATGTCACCCCTCGCCTGACTCACAGGCCAGTTGCCTGGGCTTTGACCCTGCATTTTATAGACAGTCCTCTTGGAGCTTGGGTCAGGTAGCCCCAGGTCAGTCTTTGATAGCATCACCCAAGCCTTTCTTCAAGCCTCTGGATATCCAGACACCACTCTATTATCTCCACTGTTACCAACTTGCCGATGATCTTGGCAGAGCAGTTTACCCTTTCTGAGCCTTGACTTCCACATCTGAAGGAGGAGGTAAAATCCCTAGACATCAAACATTGAGTTACATGGGGATAAGAGATGAAAATGAACTGCTGAAGAGGTGAGAAAGGGCATAGGGGATTCCAGCCTGGAAAGAACTGTGAGTAGACGTGGTATGATATTACAGCAGAAATGGTGCTACTATTGCTTCTAATCGGCAGCTGTTGCAACAACCTGCCCTCTGTCCTTCACATTTCACCCAGTTATACTCTGCGTTGTGCCTGGTGAGGCTAATATCACTGGCTGGCCGTTTTAACAAACACTGTCTGGCTTCTACTTAAGGCTGGCTGTGACAGAGAAATTGCCGCAGAGGGCCCCAATCTCTTCCCCACCCTAACCCCTATCAGGGACAAAGGAGATATTTCAGAACAGGTGGCATTTCAAAGTGCATCATAAAAAGGGAGTGCCAGCCAGGAGGGCGTTACCATCTGCTCTGCTCCCTTCACAAACATGCCCCCAGGGGCTTCCCTATTTGACTTAATGTGAATCTACCGAAGACCCAAAGGAATAAAACAATCTACCGCCACTAACATCAAGGAACCAAAAACATTCCATTTGAAAATAGAAACTGTTTCAAAGGGCAAATTATCCAGAAGCACACACTGTAAAAGTGATCCTGAGCCATGGGAATGGCTGGCATTTCACTGGAATGCAAATGCACTCCCAGGGGCTTCCCAGCAAAGGGCGAGGTCTCAGGAAGGTCTCAAAAACTGGGTCCTGCTGAGAGCAGCTTCAGGAGACATGTACATGGATGGCCACCTCCAAATCAAAAAGATTAAACAGAGACATCTCGCAGCACGAGAGCAGAGGACACACAGCGTTCATCTTAGAATGTTATTTATTTATTTATTTTTAAAGATTTTATTTATTTATCTTTAGAGGGGAAGGGAAGGAGAGAGGGAGAGACACATCAATGCATGGTTGCCTCTTGTGCGTCCCCTGCCGGGAAGTGGCCTGCGGGGAACCGGCCTGCAACCCAGGCATGTGCCCTGACTGGGAATCGAACCTCGATTGTCTGGTTCACAGGCCCGTGCTCAATCCACTGAGCTACACCAGCCAGGGCGAGAATGTTATTTTTTTGACTGGACCATAGTTCCTGTCTGGTCCTCTAGAAATATCTTCCCAGAAATAAAGCCTCCTTCTTTAAACCCCCAAATCTTCAGCTTCCCCCCAGGTAGGCCACACCCACTCCTAGATGTGTGTGGGTCCCTGCCCCTCACCCATTTATATAGCGTGGTGGCTGGAAAGCCACAGTTCAAGGGTCTCCCTGCAGCTGCAGCAGCAGGAAGTGTGAGTGCAACAAACCGTGACTGCCAGATGGGGCACTGTCAGAGACGCTCCGCTCTGGGAGCATCACCCTCCACCAGGCAAGGACAGACTAGCTTGTGACTCTCCTCCAACTTCCTCACCTTCTCAGGCAGCACCTGGGCACCCTCCTCCGCCTGAGGAGCACAGCCAGGCTGGTGACATCAGTTCGCACAGCCACCCAAAGCTCATGTGAAAACTCCAGACTGCTTTTGGTCTTCGAGAACAATTGATTCTCCATCTCTTAGCTCAGACATCCATGTGGCTGGGTGCAGAAAGGCTAAGGAATGAGCAGATAAGCTGAAGGCTGGCTGTGTGGGGCCTACATGCCAGGCTTGCACTGGGGGTTATGAGAAAGTTACCAACTGAGTTGCCCCGCCACATCCCACTCCACCTTAAGCAGCTGGGGCTGGAGCAGTCAGGGAACGGTGGCCTGCCAAAACTGCCCCTTTTTCTCCTGATGGAGCTGAAAGCAACCAGGAAAGGATACTGGATCCCTGACAGCCTCTGCCAGGGCCACAGGCTGCCTGCTGAAATGATCTAGATTCAAAAGAAAAATTGCACACAGTGAAAAAATTAAAAACAATATTTATTGTTTCCTGTAAAAACAGGGGGCTTTCATGAGAAAAGAATGTGCAAAGAGAGGCTTGCTACACCTTGGGCTTTCTCACTTATCCTAGCAGGCTGGGTCTGCTGATTTTAAACTCTCCTCACTTTGCAGGAGGGAAAGCTCTCCACCTTCTCCTGGGAAATCAGACTACTCTCCATTCAATTCTGATTACTTGCATGTCTTAAAAAAACCCCAAACCCTATAGTTATTAAGCTATCTGCCGCTACACATTTGCTCATTCCACTTGACAGACAGACATGGGCCTCAAGTTCATACCCCCCTGTGCAGGTCAGGATAGGATGATACCATGGACATCCGGTGGGTGTTCCTGCCTAAGGATCAAAGAAGCCCCTGGCTCCGGGTCAGCTGGCCGAAAACACGCGTAGCACCTCCAATGAAAGGCTGAGCTTTTCTCTTTTAAGACCAGCATTTGGGGTATACTAGGGCCAGCAGTCAACCAATCCATACACAGTTCTCAGGCCACAGGTGGTATCTGGTCTAGAAGCTACTTACTCCACCTCCAAATCTTCCTGAGATCCCTTAAACGGACAAGAGTGAATTCAACTTTCAAAATGGCACGCCAGGTTATATCAGGTAGAGGATGTCATTAAGGCAAACGGTCTCAACGAATCCATGCACAGAGCTCTGATCTCACCATCCCCCCGCCCTCCCCCTTCAGGAAGGCTAGTCCTGCCCACTGCTCCTCTTTGGTAACAGTTTCCAGCATCCAGAAGCCTTGCGCAGCCTTCATCCTCAAAAGTTGGGGGCGATCCAATTAAGGAAC